GAAGGCCGGCGAGATGGAATACATCAAGAATTTTGGACAGTCTCTCAGGTGCGCTTCAAAAGTGGGAGCAAACACAATCACGTCATCTATAACAAAGACACGTAGACCACCTGAATCCATGGAGCAGGAAGTCCATCATTCGTTCAATGGTGGCGGGGGCATTACATAAGCCGAAAGGCATGACTCTGAATTGGTAGAGGACATCAGGTGTTAAAAAAGCCGTCTTCTCTCGATTCATGGGATCCGCGGCAATCTGCCAATAACCAGAATGAAGATCGATGGAAGAAAAGTAGACGGCACCATAGAGGCAATCAACGACGTCGTCAATTCGTGGCACAGGGTATGCGTCTTTCTTGGTGATGTTGTTAAGGGTGATAGTCCACACAAAATCGCCACGATCCGTTCTTTTTAACTAATACCACCGGGGATGCCCAGGGACTGGAGGATGGTTCAATAATATCCTTCGCTAGCATCTTGTTCACCTCCTTCTGAATGACGCTCCGCTCAAAAGCAGACACTTTGTAGGGACGGCGGTGAACAGGGTTGGCATCACCTGTGTGTATGTGGTGCTGTACAAAGGACGTCTGCCATAGAGGTTGGTCACCAAAATCGAAAATATTCTAGTAGGCCTCGAGAAGATGCTGTAGGGCTTCAACTTGCGGAGGCGGAAGATCAGTGGCGATTATGTCTACAATTTGACGGCTTCCCGAATGTGTTGCGAGTGGTGTGCGCCGCGTTGAAACAAGGGTGTCTAAGTCAAGCACTTCAGTTTGTGAATCAAGCAACCGTCACAGGTGGGCCACAGAAAGGTGGGCGAGAGGTACTGGGATTGATACCCAGCACCTCCACCAAAACGTTACGTGGAAAATAACAGCAGTCAGTCCACAGCCACAACGCAGCTCACCGATAACGTCCACTTCTTCACTCTCAGTCTGAGGCACCTTTTTTGGGTATGTCCCACTATGCCCTGTTTTAGTCAGCCGAAATCGCGTAACAATATTATTAGACCCGAAATGGTTGTATAAAAGCTGTTTTTTTTTTTCATTTTGTTGCTCAGAACGCCGCATGGGGAGATTCACTTTCGGGCGAAAGTGCCATTTACTTTTTGACGGGGGTTGGATGCTGATATATCCCGCCTATAGGGCTTCGCGTTCACAAAGCTCCTTTTCCTTGAATAGCCTCTATGACTCTCCATTCTCGCTGCTGTCATCACCGTGATGACCAAAAAGGAAGCTCAGCGCATTCACGTAAAGAGTGTTTCGTTTGGGCTAGGGGCTGCTGTACAAAAGTTTACAAAGGTGTATTTTCCTTTTTTTAGCTTACAGAAAAATCCACCAAGCGTGTGCTGTAACATTTTAATGAAGAAATTGAATAAATTACGTACCTTCTCTACAGATAAAAAAACAAGAACTTGAAGTTTGAGAGCATTTTATACCAAAGATACAATAAATTATTCGCTGGCACTTAGCATGCACGCTTGTTTTGACTACGCGTGACCAGCTCTTCACAATTATACTTGATCTCAATCACAATATTCAATATCAGACGAAAACCTTTTTATTGAATTGAAAACACTTTTGACCGTAACTACCTAGTTTCCTACGCCTAGGTGACATTATGTTATTGCATTATTTGTTATTTATTTACTTAATACATGCGAGTGTTTCCACGACCATATTTTACCTCGGAGCACCTACTGTAAAAGACCCCATTCCCTGACTACTACGACAGACGTGCAAACTTAATCGGCATAATATAACAGCATTTAAAAAATTGATTGATATGTGGGGTTTAACGACCCAAAACCACCATATGATTATGAGAGACGCCGTAGTGGAGGGCTCCGGAAATTTCGACCACCTGGGGTTCTTCAACGTGCACCCAAATCTGAGCACGCGGGCCTACAACATTTTTGCCTCCATCAGAATTGCAGCCGCCGCAGCCGGGACTCAATCCCGCAACCTGCGGATCAGCAGCCGAGTACCTTAGTCACTAGACCAGCGCGGCGGGGCGCGTTTAAAATATCCTGCACGTACAAGTGAGCGCGATCAGACGCTTGGCGCGTCTTCACAATTCTGACGGTTGGCTGTTAGCCTAAAAGACAGCTCCAGGCAGAGGGCTTCAGACAACATCGAGACACTGTGTGGGTAAGTCGGAATATTTTATTTTAAATTTTCCCATTTATAATGAAAGCAACACTCGTACACTCACGGAGTGGTTAATCACCAGAGCGATTCTAAGAAAAAAAACACCAGCCAATTGGCAAAACGAGCACAACATTAGCAAGGACGGTTGGACAGTTGGTTTCTGCGAATAACTGCGAGTTCTACACTTGATGTCAAATTCACGAAAAAGAAGTGTTCGTTCACATTTATTATCTATGGTCGGCAGCGTTTGCTAGTAATATGCTGTCAATTTCGGCGTGCCAGCAGACCTTTAAAAACAAGGAAGCAAGTACGAACATGCTTGAATATAGGTCCGGAATTTCGCTTGATCGGCCTCTGAAATTTGTTGCTGTGCGTCCTTCACAATTACCATCAGATCTAACAACTTAGCGCGACCTTGTCGTACTCTATTAACCGTCCAAGAAGTAGTTAATCACTACCTCAGCATAAAAAAAGCAATAACTAACGATGAAAAGGCACTCTGCTAGTTGAAAGCGTCATTAATTTTTTTTGCCTTTCTCCGCAATTTCGCAAGTACGTTCGCGTTGATAAACGGATGAAGCAGCCTTGAAACGCCGCTACCGATACACTCACAAGCAGGGACTGCTTACGTCCGAGCTTTATAACCGTGACTTGAAAAATAGATCGTTTTGCAACTTTGTAATAACTTTCGGCTTCACATTCTTAAAACAGCTAAATACCCCCAATTTTTAACAACAAATATCGCAAATTTTAATGATCCCAAGATCGTTTTTTAAGGTGTGTTAAAATTTGCAGGTTGGAAACGAACGCACAACGTAGCAACCCTTCACGAGCAATACAAGGCGAACTCGAAGGTTTCCATTTTCTTTCCCGTTAATGCAAATAAACTAAACCGGACAATTGAATTATTTTCATATATGAATTTAAATTAAAAAACCTATATATGAGGCACGTGTCATTCATAATGCGATCAGTAGTCGATATTACCCCACAGTGGAAATGTTTCTTGTTGAGCGCTATCTCGTGCACTAAACTCAATGCACTTACGATTATTACATGCTCTAAAGATTTCTATTTCAATACCAACTATATGAACTCTCGAGGCGCACCTTTGCCATCGCCATCACCTTAATGTTCCATATAAAGTCCAAATCAATGACATCGCCCTGCGCGTTGTGTGTTTTATGTACGAGCGAAAGCTGCAGGTGGGCCCGCCTCAAGCAGAGATGAAACACGTCGGCCGGCTCCGTCGGGGGAAAGGAGCATGAAGGATTAGCAACAACTTGTAGGTTTGCGTGAGTCAGTTCACGATGCGAATAACTTGAAGCAGCGCTAAAAAACGATGACAAAGAAAAAAAAACGCACGCAACAGAACTCCAGCAACTCTGCCTAAAATATCAATACTTCTACGAAGAATTCTAGCTAATCTCTAACTAGCGACACGTCTATCTGTTTATTACAGAAAGAATACACACTTTTTGATTTGATGCTTGATTAGCGGCACAGCTGAGGGACGCATGCGCTTAAGGGGTCTACTTCCTGTGGTCTTTTTTGAAATGAAATCAGTTGATGGTTAGCGTCTGCCCTGTGCACTTCTTTCTGAGTTCTTTAGTTTTCTACTTTTGCGCTAAAAATATGTTGCACGTTATTAAGGGGTATTGACGTGGGTGCGGTGGTTGCTTCGCTAGAGCGCCAACTGGAAACTTTGATCAAAAGAGTCGACTGAGATTAGCAGACGGTTGATGTGCGCGCTGTGCTCGTACATGAGCCACACGTTAGCAGACATATTGACACATGGCTACGCATGCTCGTGCATTAGTGGACGGCCCCTATAAGTGCAGTGCTCTTCCCGCTTAATTCGAATTGAAGCGACACACAGCGCGAAAACCGCCTCGCTTTCTGGAGCACCCGTATTCTCTCAAGAAAGCGCTTTGTAACGCCAGATCGGATACAAAGAGAGTTATCTATTAACCTTACTTCGTATAACATTCTAATTTGTTGCTGTCGCTTTCGCAGCTTCGCCCTTGCACCAAAACTGTGACCTTTTTTTTTTAGATGTGAAGCAGCATATGGCGGAGTTCAATTCGGTGTGCGGCGTGACCACCCTTACTGCGCATGCGCCAACTCTCCCCCTCTACTCGTGTGAGCGTGAGACAGTGGGAGGACCCTCTCCTCGCGTGAGCACGAGGTTGGAAGAGGGGGTGGAGTTGAGGAGGTGGCAGAGCGCTGCCTCCACTTCATTTCTTTACTCCTGTTTATCTCCCCGCGACAGCTGTTCATTCGTATATTATGGTGCGCGCGCTCACTCTGTTGCACTCTCCTAGCAGCGCTAGGTGTTTACTTTGCGGCCAACACAAATGGGAGGAGCGTAACGTGAGTGGTACACAACATGCACACAACTCCACACACAAATGAAATCTAAATTGAAACATACAAATGGAAACAACAAATGGAAACCCATAGGAACACAGGTGCTGCTTCGCATCCCCACAAGATTTACTTTAATGGGACATGGTGCAATTTATTTTTCTTTCTACGCGCTTCGTAACCTGTGCCTTCGTAATTTGGCAACCAAATTTCATATTTATACAGTGATAACGGTTATTTAGTGTTTACTTTTAATTATTTTTGCGTACCCACCCGATCAGCCACTCTTCTAGAGAGATAGCAAGAAATCAATAAAAAGAGAGGAAAAATTATCCTCTAGAGACTACGGCCTATGAATACTTCGTCAATGTAGTAAATGCAGCATCGATAATTTTTATGACCCGTTTGCACACCAGTATCTTAAATTAAGACAAAACATTCATTTCACGCATACTGCACGTGTGGTATTGCTCAATGTACACTTACAAATTTGGAAAGGAATTCTTCCAACAAGCGATGGTCAGCCGTGATTCGGCTTGGAACGGCCACGATGGGTCCGTCCCTTCGCTTGCCATTGGTCCAGCCTCGGCTGTATTGGAACGTCTGGCAGTGGACGATCATCACCAGGTTGAGAAGCAGCAATCCAAAGGTAGCAACGATGCGGCTCATGGCTGCAAGCACCGGGGCACACAATGAAACTAGTCGCTAAAAACAGTGTTGAGAAGATGCGACATTGAATGCCATAATGAAATCTGTGTTCAGTTTGAAGTCAATAAACAAAAAAGCACTTGCAAAATTAACCATGAATTATCAGTTATTGCAATAACATAGCCAGAAATATTTTTTTGGGGGGGGGGAGGGAGGGTGAGAGGGGAGGAGGTCAACAATACTTTATGCATCTTCGTAGATTCGTATGAGTGCGTGATTATAAATGCGTGCAAAATTGAAAAATTTGCAATTGTATATATTGTGGGAGGTAGTTGAACTACCCCCCTCCCCTCGCCCCGCCGCGGTGGTCTAGTGGCTAAGGTACTCGGCTGCTCACCCGCAGGTCGCGGGATCGGATCCCGGCTGCGGCGGCTGCATTTCCGATGGAGGCGAAAATGCTGTAGGCCCATGTGCTCAGATCTGGATGCATCTTGAATAACCTCAGGTGGTCGAAATTACCGGCGCCCTTCACTATGGCGTCTCTCATAATTATATGGTGGCTTTGGGACGTTACTCCCCACATATCATCATGAAGCGACAAATGTGAACATCCAGTCACACACGAAGTCAAACCCTTTCCTCCACACACGTGTGACACATATCCGTATGCCACGTGCTGCGGTATGCGGATATGTGCCACATGTGTTTGACAGTTTATATTTGCCGAGAAACGGCCAGGCATTGGTAATTTAAATGCAAGAGCGTTAAGAAAAACCGACATCGGCAGCATTGGCCTGACCAACGCAAAGAAGAAATATATGGCCCCAGCAGGAACCTAATTCAAGCATTCTGTGTGGCAAGCAAGTATCCTACCACGGAGCCATGTCAGGTCTCAGAACTGATTTGGAAAAAGACCCTATATATGCAGGCGTAATGTTGACGAAACGTCAATAGCTGTTGCAGTTCTGGCCATTTAATTTTATAAACGTTACATTTGTGCTCCAATAATACAGGCGACACGTCAGGTTAGTTTCAATTGTAGTGAAGTGTCATCTATTGAAGTTGGTCCATGTATGACTATCCAGGGCTACCATCCTCGCAAGCACAAAGCACTACACTTCAGATAGCCGCTTTTGGTGTTTGTAATACCTATGTTGCTTTTGGCATCATTCTGCAATTCTAAAGAACTGGTTATATGAAATGTATGTGACTGTTCACCATAAGTATCTATGCGTATACCATTTGTACATATCTTAAGCGTCATTTCATAATGTTTCGTTCAACAAAAATTACGCAACTGTCACCTTCTCTCCACATGCTTCGCGCGACATCGAGTCCCATGGTACGTGGGATCTGCCTTTTTTTTTTTACAAGCTTCTTTGCGTCTACTGCCCTAACATAGGTATATTAAGCAAACACTTCCTATAGTGTGTTTTTATACATTTGCCATTCAACCGTTTTTCGAAATATTATTTTCGCAATCAGACATGGCAAGCGGCTGTTCTTTCGCATATACCTAAAGTTCAAACTGTTTGTGAATCCGAACTTAAAGCCCATGAGCTTGTGCAGATTGGAGCACGAAGTTGAATTCGGGAGTTGGCGAAATGTCCTACATTCTCGTTGTAGCTGGTAGGTTCACAGGTTGCTCAGCAAAGCCATACCCGTCGCAGTAAATGTCTTCACATACAGACGATTTCACCATCAGTGTGAAATCGCCATAGGTGTTTCACACGTGTCTTACTGCCTTACAACAAAGGCCGCGGTGCTTTGTGCGCGACTAAATGCCACAAGTGCCATTTATTGTCACTCTTAAGCCATTATTTCCTCCTCGCTCCCCTTCTATTCGTGCGATGAAAAAATATGCCTAATTATGCGAGGGAGTTTTCACAAATAAGACTACTGAGATCAATAATTCTATATCTTGAAAGAAATATGTCAATTGACAATATCATTTTATACTTATGACAGAAAACTGCGTTTAAATCATACCACAACAATTGAATCAGTGTAAAGCCGTGTAGCTATACCAGCAGTGATCGTTGCAATTCGGCTCTTTTAATACAAGCCTCTTCTCGTTGACCCTTTGCTTGTCTTTTGGCGTAAAAGCAATTAAATATTTTAAAAAACTTACATAGGAGGTAAAACGCATCGCGATGCTTTTTTGTGATAACCTGTTTTACCTTAATGCCCGTTTTTTTTTCAGCCTAATGAGTGGAAATTTTCATCGTCTGGAAAAACGAGCTTCACACTACGTTCCTTCCTTATCTTAATGTTGTGTGCAATCCAATGCATGTAAGCCATACGCAACAGCAATCCTTTAGCACATACGTTGGCCCATGAACCTCATTTTGAGTGAGTGGAGCTCTCTAAAATCCGCGGAAAGGAATGCCGCCACAAAGACTACTTCTTGAGACTGAAGACCCGCATCCACGAGGTGAACGGTTTGCGGCATGGTTTTAGAGTGCACTCTAGAGCAACTGTAGAGTGTATTCTTGAAGCGCGATCTCTCTATGACTCTTTTAAGCATATTTAGAATGCGTGGAATTGGCAGGTTCATTGCAAGAGTTTTTTTTTCTAGCATGGTTTGTATTTTCTCCAGAAAACATGAATTTTGAATGAGCGAAAGTCTTAGGTCGAGGTAGAAACCAGACTGAAGCTTTCTGGGGCTCCTTGGTTGCGTACAATGGCCTTAAACCTTCTCAGTATAGTCTTTATATACAAGGTGCCACAAATTACGGCAGTGTTGGCCCCGTTTTTTTATTTATTTAATTTTGTTTTCACTATTACAAGACAGTTAACACAAGACTACCCCTGTATCCCAAGAACACTGCTGGTGGTGAATTGAAGTGCGGTCAAAGTTGGGAGGGAATAAATAGCTGAGAACAGGCGTCTTGCGCAATTCGATACACACACATTTTCTTTCATTTTTTTATATTGATGCGTGTGTCGTAATTCTAAATTGTGAACGTGTAAGAGAAATAGAAAGTTCGCATGGTCGTCAACAGACATACCGGATTGATTTTAGAATGCTACCGCACTCCATGTTGCCGACACATCCTTCAATGCACTGCAACAGTGATGTGTGGGAGCTGAAATAATATACATTGTTGAGGTTCCGTGAACATGCCAAAACTCGTTATTTCCATTGAATTTCTGCAATTCATTAAGAATTTTTTTCTCAGAAAGGGGCTTTCCGAGCTTTCCTTAGAGCACCAAAAAAAATAAAAAATGAAGCGGACACTTAAGTGGCGTTTAGTTCACGCGCCATGTTTGCCGGGCTCAAATAGTGTTGTTTCTCTCTCTCTCTCTCTCTCTCTCTTGCGAATGCTGGCCCAGAGACCAAATTTGCAAAACTTTCTTGTTCGCAACATCTTTTAGTTCTTTTCCATTCACCTTCGTTGGTAACCTTCCCACAGTAACATTCCCACCTGCTGTTAAGAACCGTTGTATTATAACACTGTGAATGTGGACCCAACGTTCATATTTATTGCATGCTCTTCACACTATAATTGTTCTTTGAAAAATCACAGTCGATCCTGGGGTTGGTTATATTTGCCAAGTTGCATGACTAATGATGAGATTACTTATGAACAGCCAGCATTATGATTATGGACTTAGCCGAGCTAAGGACATTCGGGCAGGCATCGGCCAAAAACGCAACAGAAAATTGACAATTCGTCACATAACTCAACCGAACGTCTTCGCTTCCCAGACTGCGTCACTGCATCGATGACTATGTTGGACGCACTTGTAACGAGCAGAGAAGACGAAAAAAATATTATTCATATAGCACAAGTTAAGTGGTGTTTGAGCAGTTTGTAACAACCGGTACCAGCATATATGATCACAGAAGTGTTATCAGGTAAAGAACCAGGCCTGTAATACCCACATACCCACGCGTAAGAGCGTCTATCAGCCGGACATGATATGGGACATATCAAGGGAAGTCGGCCGCAGACAGCACTTACGAATAAGAAGATCTGTGAATTCGATTTCAGAAACTTTCATGAGACTTGAGTGTTGTCCTAACGCTTCAAATAATAGTAATGTATGATGAAGTTACGTCCCAAATCCACGATATTATTATGAGAGACGCCATCTAGTGTTATTTAACGTGAACTGACATCGCACAGTACACAGGCCTCTACCATTACGCCTCCATCGAAATTCGTACACCACGGCCGGGATCGAACACGCAACCTTCGTGTCAGCAGCCGAGCACCTGAACCGCTTCACTATCGTGGAGCAAATGCCTGAAGGTAATCGTCATTGCAATGGTAAAATTAACTTATACAAAAATCAGTAAATGTGTTCCAGTTGCACCGCAGGGAATCAGTGCGTCGCTAATGCTAAGGTAAGTGATGTAGGCTGTAGAAAAAAGCATCAACGCTCAGGCCTTCCCACAAGCAACTGCGTCTAAACTTTGATAAGTGATTGAGCCCATTAGCGTATTCAACAAATGAACGTCTCTCTCTCTCTCTCTCTCTCTCTCTCTCTCTCTCTACGTTTCTTCTTTTTATCACGCCAATTATACCAGTTATTACCAGTTATAAACCGGGCCTCTATCTTTGATGACAATTCGTGCAATACAGTAAAAGCAGGTGGCAGTCAACGGGATTATCAAACATGCAATGTAGGCGGCAATCCAATGGCAAACAGCACAGCGGAAAGCAAACACCTGTGAATTTGGTCCACCCAGCCGCGGTGGTCTAGTGGCTAAGGTACTCGGCTGCTGACCCGCAGGTCGCGGGATCGAATCCTGGCTGCGGCGGCTGCATTTCCGATGGAGGCGGAAATGTTGTAGGCCCGTTTGCTCAGATTTGGGTGCACGTTAAAGAACCCCGGGTGGTCGAAATTTCCGGAGCCCTCAACTACAGCGTCTCTCATAATCATATGGTGGTTTTGCGACGTTAAACCCCACATATCAATCAATCAAATTAATCAATGTGAATTCGGCTCCACTCTCTGACAACTTACGTACACTTCAATTTTTGTTCTTTGCTGCCATCACGCTTAGACCAGGACTGCAAGTCACACTCATGCACAAACGGACACACAAAACTATTTCCGTAGATGTGCAACCTCAGTTGAATGGCGTGCATTAAACGTCCATGGTGAGTCCCTACCTCTCAAGCAGTGGTGCGCAAGCAATGTCTAGCAGGAAACCCTGCGAAAGCACAGTGCAACCCGTTTGTCGGCAAGTTCCGGTGTCTCGAACACCGACGTGACTGCCTTTTATACATCTGGGGCTCAAGACGTTGTAGGGACCTCAGTCGCCCAACGTAGCGCGCGAGAGGGAAAACTCGTCCCCTCTCCCTTTCTGTCGCCCGGCCAAGACGTCTGCTCCGTAGGCGACAATCAGGGCGAAAAGCAATCCACCTAGAATCGCACTGATGCACGCCCTCATCCGCTCGCCCTTTCTCTTACGCTGCTGTCGCTTGGGTTCATTAGAATGCTCGACGGAAAAAGTTTGAGAAGCGTCGCCCCAGAAGCGAGACATCCTATCGCTTCCCGCGCGAAAGGGTCTAAGAGGAAGGCACACTGCGCGCCTCCTGTCTAAAGCTTTGAAATCCCTGCTTGATTAATTATTCAGGACGACAGCGGCCAGCGTAGGCAAACCATCGCTGCCGTCACTGCGACCGGACAGGCGCAAGTAACGCGCTCTGACGTCTCGCCTACTCGACTGCCAGAGTAGTGCCATTTTCATCGCCGCTTCCCCACGACTGCCACCAGCACGGCAATGTATACGAGCGGCGCTCTCTTTTAAGAGTGCCCTTGCGCGCGCTTGAAAAGGCACGTCCGAGTCTTCGAAAGAGCAGCACAAGCCGCGAATATTCAAATCGACTGACATTGAGCAAGCCGATCTCTTTGTGCCGTACAGCTGCAACTGTAACATCTACAACGCGCAAATATATTCTGCGCACGAGGGTCAAGTTATACTTACTGCAAAATTTTTGGTTTTTTTGTTTTTTGTAATGTTTTTGGTGCTATAAAAGTGTGTCGCAAAAAAAGACGCAGTCTGATTTTTCAAGTTACCCTCTCTTTAATATGAATTGCAAGTAAACAATAGCGAAGGCGGACATAACAAAGTACTCTCTAAGAACTATAGATCTCTATACCACAACTCATCAACCCTGGTGTCGGGGTTACCATGATCAAGTATATAAATCTCATAGTTTTCGCATACCAGGGGCATAATGCTAGCTTCGTACACCATGGTTACGAATGCTATTTGACCATCACATTGGCAAGAATAATTACAATAGTCTTTTTGTTGCCTTTTAAATTAGCTCACATCTTGTGACACAAAAGCATATGCGTACAAAGCGGAGTTCTTCCAAGGTGCTCATAATACCAGGAGTGCAATAATCTGGTACTCTGAAAAGCTCCCACTTTTCTTCACTACCGTATGAAGTCTTGAGAGAGAAAAAGGAGCCTGGCTATGCTTACAAGACTGTCAGGTGACCGTGAGTTGGTAGAACATTGCACTCGTCTTCACAACGTGGTCTACTTAACACTGATGAGTGAAACGTCGAGGTCGCCGCCTCTAATGGAATTAGAAAAATGCCAGCATGCAGGCAAGGCGCTCATACACGTGGCAGCTCCGGTGCTTTCACCTCTGAGACCCTGATTCGCTGAAATGAACACGACGCAGTCCTTCGTACCGATGTCGTTGCTGTAGAGCGTTTCAAGCGTGTCTTAAGTTGACTCCCAAGTTTCCTTCCTTGCTCCACAGTGAGGCAACATCAAGCGAGAACTTGATTGCACATTGATCTTTCTATGCAATATAGAATGTACGTCACTATGTGAACTGATTATCAAAATAGTGTTCCCATTCCTTTGATTACTTTTTGTCAATTCTTTGTTTGTTTATTTGTTTGTTAGTTATTACAAGTACTCATTAAAAAACGCTCTTAATGCACCTAAAATAAGGGCGTCGAACAAATTCGAACCAGAGTGTTCGCTAGAACGAAACTCGAACACGAACTGAAAAACCTGGAACGTAGCTGTACCTGAACAGAAGCTGCCAACACGAAGAGTCCGGTTTAAATGGAAGTTGGTGTAAGTGATTCTGATACCTGTGCTTTCGAGTTATCAATTCGAGAGCATAGAGATAGAGATGCAACTTATCTCTATCACAACATGATTTTAAAATCCTTCAAAACGGAGCCACATGTTGTAGCCTTTTAATTCCGAGCACTACGCTCCACACTAGATGCGTCTGAAACGTAGTGATCTCCTACTTAACATTAATCTCAATGCCATCGCGCGCCAGATTTATTTTTGTCGCGTCACGAGGGGTGCACACGTGCCAAATAAGCAATGGTTTGTTCCCGCGCAGACTCAAATAAACTTTTCATATTATTATGATTTAAATACTCGAAAGTTGTTCTGTCTTTGAAACTGCTATTCGATCCAGCTGTCGATTTCGATCTTCGGACATCCGCATACGCTTACACAGTTTTACCCGTAGTCAACAGGCCCGTAGCCAAAAGGGGCATTTTCAGTGAAAATGGAAACAATTAAAATGTGTGTTTTTCTCAAACAATCAGGGCATTCAGCAAGTGCCCACACCCGGAAAAAAAACACAGCATATTAACGAAGTGAATAATGATGAGTGGGCGAAGCAGTGGTATCGTTCGGTGTTACAGTAAATTACCCGACCACTCATACATGTGAATGAGTGACAAAGCGGTGTGCAATGTTTATTGGTGATAAATTATATGTTGTGTTGAGGCGTGAATTTCGTTTTACTTTCATTATTACTGCTTTGTGGTATCAAATCTAGCCTGAAGTTGGCAAATACGAGGTCTGAGCACGTTGCCCTGGTGGTTGTTTCCAGTCCCAGGAAATGCATCGTAGAGCTTATTGAGATGTCATCTACTGCACATGTCAGTCATTGTCCATGATCATCATCGTCATCAGCGTCACAGTCATGGCGTACCATGGGTATCTTGCATGTGCTGTACTGTGATGGCAGATAGAGAATGTGTGGTTTGTAACGTGCTTTTTCTTCATCTTCATCATCACCATCATCATCGTGAGCGGCAGCTATGGCACACAAGGCCAACGGACAAGCCTCGACCATAAGGAGCTTCGCCCCTAAAATTTTTGACAACGAGCCAGGTCGTCAGTATGATTACCGAAAGAAATAAATGCCGGAAATAGACGATGGAAGTGTAGAAGGGCCAACCAAGTTTTTCATGCAAATGAGCGAGCCTAAGATTGCAGTGTTTATGAGTGTGACTGGTGTAGTTAAATCTAACTAATGAATGTCATTATTTTCCCAGTCATCATTACAAAGTGGTGCGGGGGGGGGGCGTGGTCTATATGCGATAAGATATACAATATAACTTATATAAGGGCCTGAAAGCACTGTAAGAAAGCGTGGACGCATTTCGTCATTTAAGACATACATAACGTTGCCAATAAGAAATTCTTCAGGAACATAGTCACAAAATAAGCCTTAGTTACATGACAGTCAGAAAATACAATACGAAGAATTTCTAATATTTCGCACGATCCTAAAAACGGCAAAAACGACACCATAACTACCTGCACACGCTTTTTTTCCTTCAGTACATTGAAAGTAAATCTTAGGATTATTTCTGCTCATGAGTGAAATGACAAATACAAATTTTAATATGAAATTGATTGATTGATTGATTGATTGATTGATTGATTTGTGTGGTTTAACGTCCCAAAACCACCATATAATCATGAAAGACACCGTAGTGGAGGGCTCCGAAAATTTCGACCACCTGGGGTTCTTTAACGTGCACCCAAATCTGAGAACACGGGCCTACAACATTTCCGCCTCCATCAGAAATGCAGTCACTGCAGCCGGGATTTGATCCTGCGACCTGCGGGTCAGCAGTCGAGTGCCTTAGCCACTAGACCACCGCGGTGGGGCTTTAATATGAAATAAAATTTGCTAATTAGTGTGCGGAATGCTAACAATGTTGGTAAAACAATAAAACCACTATGCACGCACAAATTCCAAATAACACAAGGCATTTATTTTTTAACCTAAACTCAAGTAATTTTGTTAGCTGGCATTTATAGTATAAATGCCCACTAACAAGATACGGAAACAGAGTGGGACGTCACTACTTTTATATTCACGTTGATCTCAACGTAAGCCCGGTGGGTACGCCAGTGACTATTAGATACATTCGGTGTAGCTTTAAGGTACTGCCCACCTGTCTGTGTCACAAGTATAAAGATTAAAGCCTAGTTCACACTGAAACATCCGCTTTCTACAGCGACCAAAATTCCCCTGCCACCGAAACGCAGCGTCGTTCGCACTGGACGCACCCCGCGCCGCTGAATATGCCATCTACTACGGGGCGAACGCGGGATGGATGCGCTGTCACCCGGTTGTTGTCTCGGCTCGCAAACGCCACTACGCTATCCGATGGTGTATATACTTCGACGATTCTCGTACGCAGGAAACAAGAAAAGACAGTACTGCCTACTTTGCTGGCAAGTGGCTGTCTTGTAATGCAAGAAGAGCAGAAAAAAACACAGACGCCAGCGGCGTTGGCGGGTTCGTTTTGCTCTGCAACACCGCAACAAGCTCGGTCACCTCTTTCACGAAATACGGACGCGAAGTAGGCACAGAGTAGGTTAAACTCCCGTTGGTTTCAACATTCAGTTGCGTGCACTGCGGCATAAGAAGTGAGTAGGGCTTGGCCGCCATTTTTCAAAATTCCTTGACTAGCGCTCCTATTGGTCCGCGGTGACCGATTCGGCGGCAGACGCCGCAAAAATCGGTCCGAGAGCGATCGGCGCGGAGAGGGCCCTTTCGGCGGATCTCGCCGCCACCGAACCGGATTCGGAGCACTTTCGGCGGGCGGAATGCTCAGTGTGAACGCGGCCTAATAGAGGCACAAGTATAGAGGCTAATAATAACCAGTGGCGTACCCAGGCACTGGCTCACCGGGTTCGTACCTTCCCCCCCCCCCCCGATTTTTTCTTCCTTTTGTCATAGTATATGAGCACAAAATGGCATTTGACCACATCAGCATGCTGGATACCACTACAAATCGGGAAAGTGCATCGTTTCCCCCCCCCCCCAAAATTCTGCCTACGCCCCTGATAATAGCGCGTCCTTAAGCCAAGATATCAACATTACATTTCTCTTCTGCATCTTATTTTTCATCGCACTCTCAGATGTTCGTCACTTGAGGTTCTGAACCATATCTT